ATATGTATACGTAAACTTCTATGTCCCACCTACTACCACACTACTCTACTCTAGTGCGTGTATGTGAGTGAGAGAGCGATAATTGATGATGTTGATCCGAGAGAGTGTGTGATTGTGTCACGTATGTGTGTTTATTTAGATATTTTTTGGCCTGAGTTTTTGATGACACTATTTTGACGTCATCGTCGCAGGGACCCTGTCGCCGGCGGCTACGACGGTGCTTTGTGAATTTGAGACGATGAGTCCGACTCACTGACTGTCCTCAATCCCCAATCCGGCAATCCCCAAGGCCTTCAAGGAATCTGGATTGAGATTTGAGATATGAAGAGTTGAGAGTCTTCGACTCTCCGAGAATCTCTGTACATTACTAAATAGTCTCTCCGAATCTCCGGGGAAAAGTTGCAAGAGAATCGCACATCGGGGAGGAAGTCATTTTTCGACAGACTTCAAATATCTCGAGAGGAATTCTATTTTTATTTGTTTTTAAAAAATATAAGAAGTCCATGACCTTATATTTAGTTATTTATTAAATAGGTCATAACTCGCAGCGGCAGGAGTCGAACTCACGCCTCCAGGAAATGGGGACAAAAATATATTTTGGACAATACCTCCAGCCCAAAATATAAATATATGGGTGATCAGGGCTCAGCCTCTACATGATCTACCAACAATCGAAAACCATGGTTTTTTTAAACATATAAAAATATTAAATAATAAATTTAAAAAAAAAACAATTTAAAACAACAAAACAAACTATTCTGTTTAAAAAAATAAAAAATATTATGTACATATTATGAGCTTTTGTATAAAAAAATCAAAATCAAAAACAAATAGTCAAAAAGCAATTCTTTTTTATGGGGTTTTCAGTTTCTAGAGAGCCCTTCAGCCTCAGGCTAACCTCAAAAAGGGTTACGTTAAAACTTTTATATTCCAATAAGTTTAAGTTTAATTTGTAACTTTTATAGTTAGTTGGTACCGGCTGCACTTAGACAGGTGCCTTTTTTCAGGTCAGGACGGTGGCAGTGTTTTGTCCTGTTTTGTGGCGCGCAATACACCATAGTGCCAGTTGTCAGTACTATAATTTTTTTTTAAACACAAATATATAGACGAACAGCTTTCTTGTTCCAATTTTAGAAGGCTATGAAATAAGGGTTTTTTTTGAATGGTTGCGTGAACCGTGAAGTCGTGAACGGCTGAACGCAGCATGCAAGGCCATGTATATATATATATTTAGGTTCATGCAAGCATGTATATACATAAAAATATTTATGAGCTAATATAGAGACAAGGGGGCGAAAACAAACTATTATATTTGCAGGAGAGCAAAGAGAAACACACACGTTATACACATATTACATATTAGCACGTACATATCCGTGCAGATCGAATAATATTATATTTGTAATGAAGTTCATGCATGCACACGTATACATATAAATATTTGTGAGCTAATATAAAGATAAGAGGGCAAAAAGAACACATACACTATACATATATCACAAATAAACACGTTGCATATCGATATAATTATAATTAAACAAACACACACATATACAGATCAAATGATCATTTGCTAATAATAACTTACAACCATGCACATGTATACATGCTAAATACTTCATTTTGTTATTGTTTAATACTTCTTATTACATCGAGGATGTAGTGTAAAGTGAACAACTCCAGACTCTATAACAGTGGCTACAAATGCAGGTGTTGCATTACCAGTTTGATGCGTAAAATATACAAAATTTTGCATATACAGGCATCGCAGGTGTTCATAAGCACTTGGGCGTCGTGTTCATTCGATTGTGCATTCTGATTAGCTATCAATCATTTCATGGCCTAATTTATACAACGATAGGACAGCTTTTTGATTGCAGAATTTCAAAATTTGTTATTTGATTTGTCCCAAATAAAAGTTTTAACATTTTATTTTGTAATAAGTTAAAGTATTTATGTAAACTTTTATTTACCTCCTCGAGGTTAGGCCCCAGGGCTTAGGCGCCTTCAGACCTTCACCCTATTCGAAGGCGGATACCTTTTTCTCAAACAAACAAAATAAAAAAAGACCAACAAAAACGGTTTGTTGTGTGAAAAATAATCACTGGGCCGGGTCAAATGACTGGAAAAAATAATAAGGAAAACGTTGCCTCTCTTGACTCTGAGTCACCTATTTTATTGAAATAAAATACAACATATTTTTGTCCTCGCTCAAAAAAAAGTAAAACACCACAAACTCTTGAATGTATAAAAAAAAAGCAAATTTTGAAAACCACAGAGGCGCAGGACTCCTGGGTATTTATATACGTATTTGCTTTTTTATAAAATTATATAAATACATATATATATATATATGTATATATATATTTATTTGTCCTTTTGTTATATTTTTAAAAATAGCTTTTGGTTTATTTGTTTAGAAGCAAAAAAAATAGAAAAACAAAAAACAAGACCAAAAAAAGGGTTTTGCACACAATTTTAAAATTTAAGGCCAGGGGAGTAAAGGGACAAAATCCGTCAAAATACAATTTCGAGCGTAGGATTTCTTGGATTTTGCCAACCTATCAACAAAAGGTTAACAAAAATCTGTATCTAGAGGCAAACTAAACAGTAGTTGAATTTTGATTTCAACTGTCAACAACTAAAACGTGATAAATAAATACAACAAGGAGTGAAGTCTAGAGTCAACAGTCAACCATATATGTCTCTTATTGGAGTAAGCTGGAGCATTTGGGAGCCTTTGATGGGTTTTTATTACGATATGTACGATGCTTTATTTTTTTAAAAACAAATACAAAGTTAATAACAAAGCCTTACTCGGGATGTAGAACTACTAAAAATTGAAGATGTTTCATTGGATGTTACAATCTGCCCAAATTTACCACAAAGACTCTTTGGCATTCTTTCAAAAAACAAAATAGAGAAACATAAATATAATGAACACTATTTGAGTCATCAAAATGAGACTTGTAGAAGCCTATGTACAGGCCTACTGGGCTGTCTGGGCACATGCACATTTGGAAAATACACATTTTAGCAGTATTTTTTTTTGGTTTGAAGAGTAGCTATTATTTCATAATTTCATGGAGAGAATGGGTGGGAGACTGGGATTTGGGAAAGTGTGTACAAAACTGTATATACATGTTTTTATTTTAGACATCGCACAACAAAATAGTGGCACACAGTCTCTCACTATGAAGGTGTATAGCACTAACAGCATGTCTACCGCACTAGCTGCACTACTGTTTGCCACGCTTGGTGAAGCTTTGCTATGTTCCGATGCTCGGGGTGAGGACGGGTTCGCATGCGATTCAACATACAGTTTTGATGTGGCATCGAGCGCTAACGAGGTGGACAGCTCGCTCAATTTCAATAATGTGTGTTGTAAGCAAGACGGCTGCAAAATGCTTACGGATGAAATTTTGTTAGAAGTGTTCCGCGAGTGCCCATCGGGAATAGACTCCAGGACAGGGGAGAAGGTATATGCGGATGTCAAAGTGTATAGTGTAGCAGGCGCGATTCTGACCAATGCGAATATTCTACTTACAAACACAATGACGGGTGAAGATATTGAGTTTTCATATGGTGGAACTACTACATTTGCTCTGAATGAGGGGGGTAGTTATGAGATATCGGTGGTTGGTATAGATGACTATGTAGTACAGAGCGAGGCAGGTAAGGATAAAGTAAGTGGCGATCCTCTAATGGAGGATACTGTTGTTGACGGCATATACAAATTGAGCAATGTGGCGTCAGATTCAGTTGTGGAGTTTGTGTATGTGGCACCCCAGCTAGACCGACAAGTAGTAATCAGAGCTGAAGATGATTATGGCAATGTAATTTCTGGTGCGGAAGTCACGGTAACAGATGCGAGTACAGGGACATCAGTAACCTACACCGAGTCTGACACGGATGTGTGGGATGCATCTTCAGGTAATTTTATTTTAAGTTTACCTTCGAATTCTGAGTACGAATTCGAGATAATAAACGTGCCCACCAGTTTGATAGCTACAGAGGAGATCGGCGGAGATAATCTCTTGGATGGCAAAACTATCGTGGCAGTAACTGAAGATACAAGTGTGACATTTGTCTATTCTCAAGCGACGGACTGCCAGACAACGTACTTCGGCGGAGGTGGTGTGTGTCCGAGTGGTACTGTCGAGAGGGGTTGGAAAGCTTGTTATGGTAGTGGGTGTACTGAGGTTGAGTGCTGCGGTGACCGGACCTGTCTCACTGAGACCAATCTTAGCAAGGGTTCGATTTGCGAGGAAAAAAGGCCCAAGGACGACTTTAGCACAATTGTTTGCGGAGATGGCACAGGTGTCACGTGTACAGCAACGCTTTGCTGTACTGAGGATGATTTACCATCATTAGATTCGCAAATTCTGGATCAATGCTCGTCTCACTATATTAATATCGATTTCGAAGATGTCGCAGAGTTAAGATACGGCGATGACTTCGATCTGGACCCTAGCTATAGGCCTGAGGGAATAAGCTTTTCGCTTACAACGACCGGGTCATTCACACCGTATAGTCTGCGAAGTGCACCTAGAATAGAAAATGAAGCCGGGGGTTCAGGGAATGCTGGGTTCTATGCGAGCTGTACAGGGACTAACCAGCATTATGATATAGATACCAAAGGAACTTTGGGCGACTATTTTTTGAAGCTGGTTGGTCTAAGTTCGAATGATATTCCGGTCATGCCGGCGCTGCTTGTTACCTACAACACGCATGGGTCTACCCAGGCCGCAGGAATGTTGTACGACATTGACGGGGATTTCGAAAGGCATGAACAGTACGAGATTAGTATTTATGATGAGGATTTCAATCTACTGGGCTCTGATTTCTCTATTAGGGGTACTACCGATTCGTGTTCCCTCAACGCATACGAATCAACTTATTGGCAGTTTGTAGTCAACTCATCCGGCGGCGTTCCTATTAAGTATCTCCGCATCGACTATATTGGCAAAGGAAAACCGCAGAACATCGGCATGGTATGTACATATGCTTTGTTAATTACAATTCAAATCTTTCTGCCCTTAAATACTGTTTATGTGTGTTAATTATGTGAATTCTTGGGTTTCACTGTTTTCTATAGTTTCGTGCGTACCTTGCTTTGCTTAATGTGTTTAGAAAAGAACGGTGTATGAAATGTCAGGATCATTTATCGATATTTTTTTAATCAGTGTACCTGACAGATTTGTTCATGTGCGATCGAAACCCTCAATCTTTATTTTGTATCTGCAGGGTTTCGATAATTTCAGGGCGTTTGGATGTACCAAGGATGCGAGAGTTCTTAATGCCTTCGTATAAGGTGCGTTAACCATACCAAATCTACGACCGCCCCGGCTTCGAATGCCCGTCTGTGAATTGTGAACACTCGCGTCCTTTGGCGTTGTTACTAATTCTGAGGTGTAGGCACTACTGCTGCACCTGTTTGTTATCTGAAACAGAAGCCCGGGCTGAGCAGCATCATCACTTGACAAAGCACTTGTTCAAAGCACAATAACGTTTCTTAACAGGCGTTCTCCAACAGTTAACACAGGCATTTGCTATCAATAGTATGTGCATATGGGTGTATCAAGGATATACTGTTTTGGCTTGTAGGCGCGATCACATATCCTTGTTTCGATACGGAACCTTGCTTATCACAGAGAAAGTACTGTAGACCAAACATCGGCTGTCGAACAAGGTCAAAATAAACTTCAGAGAGCATATAAGGGTTCTTTTGCTGATCCTAGATGCGGGGTTATGCTTTACGCACCGATTTCCCCATCTCTAGTGGCAGAAAACGACTGAAGATCAGTAATCGATTACTCAGCGGTTGGATTTTGGAACTCTGGGACAGAAACTTTTCTCGTGTGCTATCACAATACGTCTATTAGACACAGCGTAGTATATGTACACGCGGTATCATTACTGCAGCAAGGTATCCTATATATATTGTGCTTTAAATTAATTAATACAGCTGGTCGAAATTTCGTTCGCCGGCACGACTGCGGGATGAGTTGTGATTCAACTAATGTTTATACAGCCATATGAAAAACATCAAAAGTTCAGTATGTTTATTTGCTTGATGGTTATTCACACCTTTACCCGTTATATTTTGAAGTGCTCAATGAGAACGGAGAATCACTCGGCTTTAATACACAGCGTTCGACCTCGTAGAAGCTTACTTCTCAGTCGTATCATAGTTTAAGATATCTCATTCGCCATCACATGTATACAGTTGGGCAAGCATTCATGCTCGTGGGACAACCACAAGAAACGCATAAATATATAAAAAGTCATGCCCTCTACTATCTCTCTCTAGTAGAGAACAATTAAAAATATATTTACCACAACGGCAGAGCCTTCTATTTAAAAAATTAGACACATCGGACTAAAAAGTCCGTGAAAAAGGTTTGTTCATGTTTATGCCGAGAGCATTGTCCCCCAGAGATCCTGAGTGGCCAGGGTGCCAGCCGCCAGGGCGACAGGCCTTGTGTGGACTGTGGACTGTACATCTTTTGGCTTGTGGAGTCCTGAACACTGGACAGGCTTTATTTCTATTTTACTTCTTTCCGTCTTGCCAGTATTGCAATAAAAATCGACTAAAAATGTTAAAATATTGAGTTTCATTGGTAGGCATAGCAGTAACGGTGGGTGCTTCAGTCTTCTCAAGTTCTTATTGGTCATTGATGGCTGTGTTTTTCAATCTGTCTCAACAATCGTCCATTTGCCTCCGGGGGGGTTATTGTTTTTTAAGTTAAAAACAAGAAGTAGTTAACTCAAAAATGTCAGAAACTCATCTCACTACTAGAGAGGTCTCACTGCAGGCTTTCAATGTGTTTTCTAAAATAAAAAAATGTTGTTGTGCTTTTATATAAAGATTATAAAATATACAAATAGATCACAATGTAGTACAAGTGTATTTTTCTCATTTTAGGAGGGGTGGTCATATTTTTTTATCGGAAGGAGCAAAGACTTTTACTCCCTATCCGCTAAATTGTAATGTGTTGAGTTGTTGACTTGTGTTGACTCTCTCTACTGTGTGTGTGTGTTCTTCGTATATGCCCCGTGTGTGTATAATATGTATTGTACACACAGTCACACACGTCCAGTATGGTGGATCAGTGTTCAATACAGTCCTTTTAAAATATCGAATGCACAGACAGTCAGACGCAAAGGGTCAGAGCCTCAGAGACGAATTATATATACCAGAGGCCCAGACTCCCTCTGTCCGCAGACTGCAGAGTGCGGAGTCGCAGGCTCCGCAGTTCAACCTTCACAACACAGTAAAACCGAATTTTTGTGTAAATATAAAAAAATATATATAGTCTTATCATGTAAAGATTTTATTGTACACACCTTATTGGTACGTTGGATCGTCGGTCGGGCAACACATAAATGAGTGTTAAAAACACCCCGCCAGAGAATATGGTGTGCAATGTTTAATTTTAGACTACTAATTGTAGCAGGCGAGTGTTGTTATTTTGAAACCGCACCTATGGTAATTACATCAAGATTTCGTATTTATAGATATAAAATATATCGTACAGCAAACCTTATTGTCTATCTGAAAGGCTTCACTGTATTTATTTAAATATTATTTATTCTCGAAGGATTAAAACAAGTAGTTTGCACCGCCTGTTTCAATTTACATTTTTAAATATATTACCAGTAGCACATCTAGAATGCACCTATCACATCATTGAGCCCAAGCCCACTTCTAATTATACTAGAAACAAGTCGCTGGAGCAGGTCAACGTTGCCAAAAGAACCCTCTAGCTTGAACGAGCTATTTCACACTTATCGCTATAGTATTCAGGTACGCTCAAGTCAAGAAAGTACGAAACTCAAATCAGTGGAAGATAGCGAAGAGGTGACTGTACTGCCGAGACAAAAATCTGCAATGAGCCAAAACACTGACCCCGGCTATCACAACTCAGGCATTCGCAAGGCCTTCACCAGGAGACGTACAAGCACCGTTGAGTATGTCAAGAGATGATAATGCATTTTCTGCGAAGCCGATGATCGAATTTTTATATTACACCATAGAATGCAGCAGATGTAATATTCAGAATAGCTTTTACGTGGTATTCTGACAACAGTTAGACACATACAGCAATACTTAAACATATAGATACGCAAGTAATTCGTACAAATACGTAAATATATATATATTTATATATATATATATATGCACACATACATATATATATATATACTAACACACACACACACATATAT